TGCTGGAGATGCATGCAGCAGAGTTGGGGGCTGCATGCTTCGCGCAGCAGCAAGAGGATAGTCTTGGTATGCTTGCTGCTGCTGCTGCTGCTGCTGCTGATGCTGTTGCTGTTCTTGCTGCTGCTGTTGTTGGTGGTGATGCTGGGAGTAGTTCGCTTGCTGCCGTCGGCGTTGCTGCTGCTGCTGTTGCTGCTGCTGCTGCTGCTTCATCTGCTGCTGCTGCATCTGCTGCTGCTGCTTCATCTGCTGCTGCTGCAGTTGCTGCTGCTGCAGTTGCTGCTACATGAATTGCTGCTGTTTGCTGCAGGCGTCAAATACGACGGTTCTACCGCAGCATGCCACCCATCACCATCACCAGCAGCAGCAGCAGCAGCAGCAGCAGCAGCAGCAGGAGCAGCAGGAGCAGCAGCAGCACCACGATCTCTCTTATCCATTATTTTTTCTGTATTTTCTTTCTACCCTTCTTCTTTTTCTTCTCTCTCTGCGCTGCTGAGCTACCGCAGCACCTGCGGCGTCAGCATCACCCCATTGAGGTGTACAGACACCTCAGGCCGCCGCTACTTTATTGAGTTTTGGGAAATAGGCGGATCGCCAGCCACACATACAGCCAGAACCATACTCTATGCTACACCCTTCGATGGTTAGCGGCGAGGGTTTAGTAGGGTTTAGGGTTTAGAGGGGTTTAGGGTTTAGAGGGGTTTAGGGTTTAGAGGGGTTTAGGGTTTAGTAGGGTTTAGGGTTTAGTAGGGTTTAGAACGGTTTAGTAGGGTTCAGTAGGGATTGGTAGGGTTTACTATTTTTTACGTTTGCTTTCTAGGGTTTAGGGTTTAGGGTTTACTAGGGTTTAGGGTTTAGTAGGATTCATGGTTTACTAGGGTTTAGAGTTTAGGGTTTAGGGTTTACTAGGGTTAAGGGTTTACAAGGGTTTAGGGTTTACTAGGGTTTAGGGTTTACTAGGGTTTAGGGTTTACTAGGGTTTAGGGTTTACTAGGGTTTAGGGTTTGTGTGTTTCAGGTGTGTGGTTGGTGTATGAGAGCGGCAGCAGCGCGGCGTATAGATCGCTGCCGGGGTGGCTGCAGGAGCTCACGCTGCGGGGGGGTAGGGTCCCCTCTCAGGTTTTTTTTA